TCCTTTTCCATGTCTTAACCCATAAAGTCACTAACTTGGTGACTTGCAACCCACCAAATAAGCCCAAATTCATAAGGTGACAACATACTTCCATAACAAGGGCTAAATCCCATGCATGAACTCATTAGGACCATCAAGATTTCAACTTTATTACTTGTGGGACACTTTTAGCTCTGAGGGTGGCAACCCCAAGCTCAAAATCGAAGTTGCTCCAAAAAGGTCCATTCTTGGGACCAAAAAGTCCATAAAATTGTACCAAGAGAGATCTAAGAGATTATTCATCAAGCTCAAAGCTTTTTACCTTGAAGAGGTCCGAAATGAAACACTTGTCCCAGATCTATAAGCTCTAGCTTCCAAGGTTCCCCCTTCCCAATCTTCTTCCTTTCTCTTCCAAGCTAAAAACCACCAAGATGAGCTTTTCAAGGCCAAGATCTCTAAAAATGGAGGTTGGAACGTTCTAGGGTTTCTTCTGAGGTTAGGGAGGCTGGTATGGGGGCTAGGGTTGAAGCCATTATGTTCTATTTATAGTGGCTCAACCCAAATTAGGGTTTAATGAACTTTTGCGTACGCTGGGCGTACGCCTCACACCTCCGCGATCCAAAGACCTGCTACGCTGGGCGTAACCCAGCTTACGCTGGGCGTAGCCACGCGTGTCCAAAAGCATGTATGCCCCTTTTTCGATAACTTTTTCCATTAAGGGACCATAAATGACAACAACTTCAAAATGTTATAACTCCTTCATTCTAAGTCCGTTTCCGACGGACTTTATATCCACGAAAAGGTGGCGAGAAGCCCTACGCTTCTAACGACACACTCGGTCCGAAACCTTCTCGAATAAATCCCATTGCCCATAAAAGACCGAAACGCCCTTACTCTTGATCTCGGGGATCCATGAATAATTACTCTTAGAACGGGGCGTTACAAGATCTAGGCTCATCTTGGCCTTTATCATCATAAAGTCTCAGTCTTTAGCATGTTGGTGAAGCTCTTTTTCCTAGAACCTCTTCTTTAGCTTGTTTTGGGTCATTATCACCTTGCATGCACGTAAAGTTTGCAACTTTACGTGATAAACATGCATTGGGAAGCTGGATCTACAATATGGAGCCTTATCATGGCTTAAAAAGCATCTGTATGGATGAAGGATTGAAGGGACTCGGCGAGTCGCAAGGTCGACTCGGCGAGTCATATGAAGATGGTCATGAACTCGACGAGTTGATGAACAACTCGGCGAGTCCGATGAAGATTGCCTTGGGCTCGGCGAGTCAGTCGGATGACTCGGCGAGTCGGCTAGGGTTTTCCCAACCTTTGGACACGTAAGAACTCGGCGAGTTATAGGGAAACTCGACGAGTCAGCTAAGGGTTTCACGACTTCTCGAGTTTAGGAAGGACTCAACAAGTCGGTGAACTGTACTCGACGAGTTGAGGTCAACATGGACTGTGGACTTTGACTTTGACCAAGGGTTAACCAGCTGACCTCTGGGGGTATTTTGGTAATTTGGTAATTTATGGAAAAGGTCTTATGGTAACTGTAGGTGGTGGAGTTCGTGTTGGTGATTCGTGAGTTTGAGCCTATCACTTCAGTGCGACATCTGTGAGGTGAGTTATCCTCACTATACTCAAGGGTCTAAGGCACCAAGGCCGACCCTTTGAATTGTTATTGGTTATGTTATGCTAGTATGATCTGTTAGATCGGTATCCTAGAGGGTAAGATAATATTATGTGGTATGTGGTATGATCCGTTAGATCAATTGTTGTTTATAGACTGTTATGTGATTATCTGTTATATGTGCACATGTTTGTTGACGGTTGAGGCTTATCTGCTCTGTGCGAAGGCCAATAGACCTGGGCATTCCAACCTGCTGGTTGTGGGTCGTGAGTATTCCATCCAGAGGATGACTGGACTCATAGTAGGTGGGCATTCCAACCTGTTGGTTGTGGGCCTGGAGTATTCCATCCCGAGGATGATTGGACCTATAGTATGTGGGCATTCCAACCTGTTGGTTGTGGGCCTGGGGTATTCCAACCCGATCGTTGATTGGACCCATAGTATGCTGTCATGATTATATGTGCATTGTTGTGGGTATGGGTATTTTGGGGGAACTCACTAAGCTTTCGGGCATACAGTTTCAGTTTATTGTTTCAGGTAAATCAGGGGATCGCGGCAAGGCGAAGACATGATCGTACAGCTCCTCATGATTTGTCTATGTTTCTGGGAAACTCTGATATTATGCATTTTGAAAACAAATTTGTAATGATTTTAATGGTTTGAAATGTTTTTAAAAGTTTAAATTTTGCATGACTTTTATTGGTGTTACAGAATAATAATAAACATAACATTTGTAAATGGATTAAATTTATAACAATATTTTATATTACAGAAGTTAATAACTTTTTTTACTTACTCCATGTAGTACAACAATTTTATCTCCAACAGAAAGACTGTTACAAGGAACATCGACTGTTGAGGTTGACTTTTCAACATCATCACCATCCACTAAAAGACGAGCTTTTGGTGGAAGAACGCTAAGAAGCTCTGTCATATCACTAGTTGCCTTAATCACAGAAGAAGCCCTATCATATCACAGAAGAAGCTCAACAAGGCGTCTGCATACACCTGCCTCAATCACAACTTGAATTTTATCATTTGTTCCATCAGATAAATAAGAAAACATAGCCTACACCTGCATACACCTAAAAATATGCATATATTCCTGTTGTTGAATTTTAACATTTGTTCTCATAAGCAAATTAAGGTAATTCATCAAATTCTTACACTCATAAACTCGAATCAAATCATTGGGTTATGGGATCTAATAATCTTCTGTATTAAAGTTTTATTAAGAACAAAACTTGTATGATGAAACACCTCTGACATATATAACTTCTTCGCATGGGTTATTGATCTAATTCAACAAACCTTGATACATTTGGGAACATCAAAAGAACTAAGGATTTAAGTACTTAAGTGATTGATGTTCATAGATATTACCAACATGAATGAGGAAATGAGGACTATAAACGTTACCTTGCGATGAATTTGCATAAAAAAATCTTCAAGACCTAGAACATAGGCTCTTCCGCATGAAAAGATATTTTCAATGTTGAGCGAATCCATCAAAGAGATAAACATGTCGATAATGGAGGATCTTCATTGTAGTCGCTATCGACATCTTGTGGACGTATAGTTGAGCGTTTAGGGCAATAAATCAAATTATCGACCTCCTTCAAATCCAGCGATTAGGTTTTCTGACTGTTGACAGGCGAAGGGAGGTGATCATGGAGGAGATAGTGGTGAAGAACATGTAAGCGAGAGAGAGAACATATAGAGAGTGAGAGAGAGAGACTAATTTGGGGATTTTTCCTTTAACTGATAGTGGTATTAGATAGAACGGTACCTTCAATTTCAATTGAGTTCCGAATTTGAGGAATTTGTGGTTTCCGACTTTGAGAAATTTGTGGCTTGAACTGAATCGTATCGTCCATAATAAATCCAATCGAGTTTGTGATTTCTTCCTGAACTGTTCGAGTAGCGTTGGTGGCGGCGGGGGTAACTGCGTCATGCTCGTGAATGATTAGGTTACTATGAACGTAAAGTCGGAGGCGAGAGTTTGGAACGGGAATGGTGGCGATCAGAGGAGATGAGGCAGTTGGTATGGCGATATGATACACAGATGCCAAGAAGACGATAGAAGCCGATATATTTAGGGCCATTTTCATCGGGATAGAACAGACATTTGTGTTTCCCACAATATCCTTTTCCTTTTTAAATCAAGATACCCCCGCCTCTATAAGTTTCTTTTTATTTACAAAAATGCCACAAGTAATCTTGATCATCTGTTTTTTTTTATCTAACATTTCACATTTAGTTCTCGGGTTTTCGGGAAATTATGAATTCTCAAATGATCATTCCTATATATATATATATATATATATATATATATATATATATATATATATATTACGGGTCAAACCGTGTAATATACAAACAATGGCAGTCAATTTTGTAAAATCATATCGAGCATCAACGACATTTTATTTTTAACTTTTATCAAAAGAAGAAACCGCTACTTTTTGATTAATTGCTATATGAAACAAGATTTACTAGTAAGTATGCAATTACTGGGAATTAAATCTAAAATTGAATAAAAGTAAATACTAGGAATTATATATACAATTAAATCACATAAACCTTATGAATAGTATATTTTTTATTCTTTAAAGTTTTATCACAAATTTTTAACACTTTACCATTTTTTTTTGTCCATTCTTAACTTTTTCAAAGTTTTGCCATAAAAGTTTCAAAACTTTGTCGTTTTGGTTGTTCCTCAACTTTTTACCATATCAGTTTGTAGAGTTGGTGTTTTTGGTCCCTCAGCTTTGATATTCTCTACTACTAGCCACCAAGGTTTCAAGAGTTTGCCACTTTTGGTCCGTGTCCTTTACCAATTGTTACAACTCATGTTTTTGCCACATTAGTTTGTGGAGTTGGCGCTTTTGGTCCCCCCACCTTCGATATTCTACTGTAGGACCCTACATTCCTGAAAACATTATACACACACAAAATAAAATCACAAACGAGAAAAAGAACCAAAGAAACACTGAAATATGTAAACATGCAAAAAAAAATCGGATCGCCGTGAAGCGGGGATGAACTTCTAATTAAATCTACAATTGAATAAAATTTGGTAAATATATGCTTATGAAATCACTTAGTAGTAAGAATGAGTACTCTTTGAAAGGAGTGAGGTGGATTGGTACTGTCGTACTGATATAGTATATATGACCCCTTAGCCACCATTTCCACTTTTTTGACCCGCACGTCCTTTGAAAATCCCACTAATTCCCACCCTCAACATTTCCTTCTATATATATTCTATAAAATAAGTAACTTTTTGTCTGCCTATATAATCAACTTATCACTGCATGATATCAACTCCATCCAATAACTTTTAGCCACTACACTTAAAAGATTCAATCCGAGAATAACCACATTATATTTCATGGATTCTTCGTTCTACAGTTACTCCTCAGACCAGTTCCTTCCCTTCAACGAAAACGATTCAGAAGAGATGATTCTCTATGGAATGCTGAACGAGTCCTCTTACAGTGACGACTTGTCAAACCAGACAACGTCTTGTCCAGTTGACAAGATTAGCTACAGAGGGGTACGTCCACGGCGTTGGGGAAAGTACGCAGCAGAAATAAGGGATTCCACAAGGAATGGGGCAAGGGTTTGGTTGGGAACGTTTGATACTGCTGAGGAAGCTGCTTTGGCTTATGATCAAGCTGCATTTGTTGCCAGGGGTTCAATGGCAGTTCTTAACTTTCCGATAGAGACGGTTTATGAGTCCCTTCGAGCAATGGATTACAGATTTGAGGAAGGGAGTTCGCCTGTTTTGGCATTGAAAAGGAGTCACGCCATGAAGAGAAAATCTGTGATTAGAGAGAATAAGAGGAAAGAGACGAAGTTGGAAGATGATAGTAGGAATATGGTGGTATTAGAGGACTTGGGTGCTGATTACTTGGAGGAGATTTTGAGATTGTCGGAGAGCTCTGGTTCTTGGTGAATATGATCGAACAGAAGATACAGTTGAATAACTGAAGTTCACCTGTGCGTGTGTGTGTACGAGGGTGTCGGCCTTTTTGGTTATAATTAATGTTTTGTCATTCACTTTTTTGTAAAGTTAAAAGTTAAAAGTAATGGATGAGTCAATTGTTACGTGGGTTCTTTTGTTTTATTTACAACATGTACACTGTTACAGTTAGATAACAACGGTCTTCCAACTACCTTTTCTTTTTATCTTATTCTAATGCAATATTAATTATTTAAGCATCTCCTTATCTCACAATACATAAAAGAGGTATTCATTCAAATATCATATTTTTAAAAAACGTTCAAAAAATAGTAAAAACGGTAATTATAATTTTCGGTAGCATGGTCATTTTATAGAGAATTGTCTTTAAAAACTTTGGTTTTTTCAATATTTCAAGGAAGAAAAAAAAAAGATATGATAAAAAAGCAAAATACTTGGAAAGAAATGTCATCAGTCAACGAGGACCGGACACACGGCGAATAGAGAGGGCCTTGTACATTTGGCCCATCCCTGCGTGTATGAGGATTGAGGGGTATTTAGCTGATTCAAGTTTCTAGCTTTTGAAAATTTTAGCCCATACTTTTGCTCATTAACGAAAATTCCCAAAACCTCATAAATAATTACTAAAAATATCAAATCACTTTGCAACATTTTAAGAATAAATTCAATTGAATATCAGCCACTTTTTTTTATCAATTTTATAGCCAAGATTTTCGTCGTCGCAGTTCCATGGTCTTATGTGAACCAACTAGGTTCGTTTGCCCGTTAATGTAACATTTTTTTGCATAGTTGATGTGACTTTAATAATAAATTGTGTTAAAAAAGTGACCAAATATATATAGGGCCATCGTTGCAAACCCAATGAAATCATTAACCCAAAAAGTTACTTCAACGGTCAATACGTTATGTTAATAACAACTTTTACTAATAAAAACAATATAAAATCATAAAAAAAATTAGAAAAAATAAAAATAAAAATAAAATAAAATAAAATAAAAAACACGTTATGTTATATTTGTTCTTTAAAACCATGATAGGTTTCCTTTTTTAAATTAATTTTTGGTGACCATTTTATGGCAATTTGCTTTCGTCAAATGTCCATTAAAACAAATATAGTAACCTCATAAGAGTTGATTTTAAAATTTCTTTAAAGAATCAAAATATAAAATGATTAGGAGGTATTAATATAGGCAAGATCAGAGCATAAAACCGTTTTAATAAACAAAAAATATAAATAAAATGGTTATAACGAACAAATATATAATATGATGGTCTTTTAAGAACTAAGAGAGATTAGATATCTTTTTATTTTTTCCTACAAATTCTTTTATCCAATTAAATAGTGATATATGTAACATTTAATGTTCATTTAATGATATTTTAATATACTAATATGATACATGTCATTATTTAATGTCATTATTTAATTAGATAAGATAATTTATATTAATAAAAATAAAAGAATATTTAATTTCTTTTAACGTAATGGTTGTCACTTGACTTTGGGTGTTTGGGACGCAAAAGCTAAGGAAGGATATGATTTTTGACAAAATTGTTTTTTGCTTTTTTATTTTTTTTTTGGTTAATAGGAAGTCTAGTTAATTGTGTTGGTTGGTAAAAAAAATCCAAAATTAATTATTTTCTCTTTATAATTGTTTGTTTCTCTAATTTCTTGCCATTTTAACATTTTGTCTTTTAAAAGATACTTTCGTTTATAATGGGTTCATAGCGATTTGTGATGTATATAAAATTCCTTATATTTTGGTTATATTAATAAAAAAGTTATATATGATTTATTTTATTATTATTATTATTTTTTGTAATTTAACCATTGGAACCTAGAGACGAGCATTATATATATATATATATATATATATATATATATATATATATATATATCTATATATATATATATTAAATCCAAAGGAGCTTAGGAATAGTATTCTTTTAGCCTTTAGGATTTTGCCACATAAGTTTGCTGAACTTGACACTTTTAGTTCCTAAAGTCAAAATTTTTACATTTTTTGCCTTTTGATTAAGTTTTTGTGCCTTAAGGTTTTTGCCACAAATCTTTAATGACTTTGACACTTTTAATCCTTATCTTCAAAGGTATTACATTTTGGTGTTTTTGCCACAATTCTTTAATGAATTTGACACTTTTTGTCCTTGTAGTCAAAAGTTTTACATTTTGACATAAAAAACACAAAAAAACATCCTTTAAAATTTTGCCAACATATTTTCCCAATGTTAACAACTTTAATATTATTGCCACAACATTTTGGATTTTCTCCACCAGTGTCCCTTTTTTTCGTTGTACACTTTTGACATCTAATTTTAGGAGTTGTCGACTTTCTTCCCTATTTATGGTGATTTACAATTTCAGCACATATCTTTTAAAGTTTGCCGATTTTTTCCATATTACCCCAAAAGCGGCATAGCCGCGGGTTCTTTACTAGTTTTGTATCAAATCCTGATAATGTATCACTATCGTATCGGAACCGGTATCGAACCATAACGAATTTAAAAATATGATATAGTACTCGGTACTCCAAAATCACGAAATCCGGGATTCAGTACCATCGATACCAGTACTAGTACAAAAAACCGGTACGATTCCCGGTACCAGCAACGTTAATTCGGTACAGTACGTGGGATTGACTTTTGATCAAATTTGGTATTCGGGAAATATGGAACGGTACCGGTTCCGTCTCACGCTCATCCCTATTGCAACCAACTATTATTTGAAATTTGGCTCAATTTTCAAGTAACTACATACATTACCAGGTTTCAATGGTTAATATATATATATATATATATATATATATATATATATATATATATATATATATATATATATATATATATATATATAGGATATAGATCCGGTAAGAAATTTTTTTTTGTAGGAAGGTAAGAAATTTTTTTTCTACATATTTTTTTGACGAACAAAATAAATGAATCACTAGATGATTCATTTGTAAGATGATTCACAAGAAAAAATTCCCAAAAAAACATCTTTATGATTCATTTTTAAGTAAATTAAGAAAAAATTCACTTTTTATGACAATTTTAGTGAATAACAACAAAATCATTGTATAAATGAATCATCGAGATGTTTTTTTGAGAATTTTTTCTTGTGAATCATCTTACAAATGAATCATCTAATGATTCATTTTGTTTGTTCGCGATAAAAATATGTAGAAAAAAAACTTTTTACCTTCCAACCAAAAATTTCTTTCTTATTTGATCTTGACTCCTATATATATATATATATATATATATATATATATATATATATATATATATACACACACACATAATAATTTTTTTTGTCAATAGGTCAAAATATAGGTGTTTTTTTCCATGCATAATAATTTTTAACCTAAAGCTTTATTCATTTTACGATTACGAGGGTGTTTTTTTTAACCTCAAAATGACTTTCTATGCAAAAAGACTTATTAACTTATGATTGTGAGAAAATGAGTTTTTAAAAAAATGTTTGATTAACTTTTGTGTTAGGAAAAGTCAATGAATCAATAATTTATTTTTTAAAAAGTACTTGTCTTAACTTATACATGTTTTAAAGATATTGACTTTTACAACCCAAAACTTTATAAGAAGTTTTGAAAAGTTAGAAATTCTAACTTATTGAAATCTTTTTTTTGAAGAGTTAATGAGAAGGTATTTTAAAAATTATTTTTATATTAACCAACATTTTTTAACTTATTTTAAATGAAATTCCAAACAACCTTTAAATTATAATATGTTTTTGGCTAAAACAACTATTACAATTTGTTTGATTTTTAATATATGATAATAAATAAATACATGAAAGGTTCATTACTTCTTTTTATAGTTTATTTTTAGCATATTTCACTTCAATTTTAGTTAGTCATCATGCATATTTTATTTTTCCTTATTTTTTTGTATATATCATAGACTTTTTAGTTTTTATGCTTGATTGCAAATATTTAGAAAACTAGAGCAAATCGGGGGACATTCGGAAGACGAATGAAACGCGAGCAGATGACCGAGATTGTTGGGACCTATCGAAGAGAGTTGGATTGAAGACTAATGTCTTTGGAGCTTACTATGAAGATTATTTGGAATAAATTTGGACTTGGTGGATTAGAAGATGAAGATATATAGACTATGGATTAGAAGATGTGGATATATAGAATATGGATTATTGATTATATTTGAATATATGGGCTAAGAAATTAATGGGTTTTTGGATGATATTTGGGAAATGAAGTCTTTGAGCTTATATTTATTTATTATGGGCTATGTGATGTGGCAAATGGGGTTCTATAATCAGTCAACAATAGTTAAATCTAGAAGACAAAGAAGACCAAAGAGGAAGGGAGACAAGTTGCAGCCATTTTCGATCAACACACGTCAAAAGGCCGCATGAGAATTTACACTACAACTCATGCAACCATGTTGCACCTGCAAGGGGCAATTTCAAGAGTTCATGTTTAGTGGCTATTTGAGGGTAGTTTGGTGAGCACTTTTCAACACTTTTGATACCAGATTTTGGTGCACTTTTTCTGGAGAATTAAGAGCTTTGATGGGCATATGAAGAACACTTGAAGATTGGGATTTTCACTTCTTTTCATCTTGATAATGTTGGGTATCTCTAAACTATTTTACTTTTCCTTAATCTCGGTCATGTTAGGCTAAGTTTATCTTGGTTGATTTTGGTATAATCCATGGTTATTTAGGTGTTTAAAGATCATTATGAACTTGTAGTGATGTTTACGAAAGTATTTTCCATTCAACATATTGTATATCCATATGTCTTTATTCATGAGTTTAGATGTATGTTTAGTGATTAGTTGGCTAATTTGTTGATTAATTAATGGATTTTCAAATTAACAAGCAACAAATGGTTTTTGTGCTTGGTTTTCATTTCAGACAATCATGAAAGTATTCTCTCCAACCTGGTAGTGAAATCATTTTTACTCATCTTG